ATGTAATAAATGTTGTCTTCCTTTAAAGAGAATTAAGAAATGTAATAAATGCTCTCTTCCTTTAAAGAGAACTAAGAAATGTAATAATTGTTAAATTTTAATACGAAAGAGAGAGAGAGAATGTGTGTGTGTGTGTGTGTGAAAAATAAACGTGTTATGTTCAACGACTGAGGTGTTTTTCCAATCGGCGAGTGTTTTTGCGCATAGCGTGCGCTCTATTTACAGCGCAGCGCGTAGTCTCAGATCTCGTCGATCTCTGGAGAGTGACGGATGTGTTGTCGGGTTGTACGCGATTCGAAATTTTTCTTTTGTTTTCATTGTATCAAATTTCGTATGCAATTTCGTGTTCAAAAGTGAATTTCTTCGTCAAATAATTACTTTAATTTTGTTATTGTAAATCTACCGCGTGTATCGCAATTAAATATTTCGCGAATATAAATTATTAGTCTTCTGGTTCGTAATTTCTTTATTTTTTACAATAATTATTCTAATACATAAAGCGATATATCGGTTCACCTTTAACGATAATCATTACTTTGTTACATATTGTATATAACATATATTATTGGAATATATACTTTTTACTTGAATTTTATCGGAAGAATTTTACAATACGGTTTTAATATTTTACAAATTAAAGTTTCGTTAATACTCTCTATTAAGAGAACCGCGGCAAATCTATAATTTTTTATCCATTTCCGAATTCTTCTCTTTGACAGTTTGGGTGCAAGAGGTACCATTGTCATCTTAACTGTCATTGAGAAGAGTTCGGAGGTGAATAAACGTTATAGATTTTTTTATATTCAGTACTTCTTGTTGACTTGATTTTAAAGAGTTTAATTGTTGTAAAATTCTCTGTAAAATTCAAATAAAAAGTACATTTCCACATATCATGCTATAACATACATATAACAAAGAAATGTGAGTTACGTGTAATCGTAATACATCGCTTTATATATTTAAAATACTTTATTTTACAAAAAAACAAATCTCGAAACAGCAAGATGATAGTTTGATATACGTGAAATTTTTCATCGCAAAGTACCGTCTAATATTGTCAAAAGTAACTTTTATAAAAAATACGAAAGAAATTCACTTAAGTGCGCGTGTGAAAGTGATCAAGTGCCAAAGAAGACAATCCGGACAATATTCCTGTGGACGCTTTTGGTGACGCTGATGGTATTCCTGACGGCGGTGTTTGCGGTACCGGAGGAGCCGGTTCGGGCAATAAAATGCTGGCACGAAGGTATATGTTTGTTTTTAATATTATATATACTTCATGTAAAAGTATTAAAGTATAATATATCTAATTCTTTTCCCAAATTCTGAGTCTAACGGCAGAATTCTATTATGTTACAGAGTGGTATCGTCGCAGTAAGTGGCCAGCGCACGTGAGTTGACCTTTTGGGTAGGTGTTGGGTTTTTTCAAAAATCAGTGCGATACGTAGTTTTTTCTTATTTATCTTGAAACGTCGAGAAAAAACAAATATTTGAAAAATAAAATTATAGTTTTCGCGCTTTACTTATATATTTAAATCTAATTTACTCATGGAAAATAAAGTATAACGGAGAATAATATAGAATAGAAATCTCTTTTGAGATATTCCTATACATTTATCAAAAAACATATAATAAGATATATAAATTGCTACAAGATGATACTGATTACTCGTTTCGAAACAATTGAGATTGCTTCATAGAATGATTATTTTATACCAGTTTTTTCTCGATGATTTCTCACATTCAACAAATTGCGAACGTTTAGTTCGCCTTGCGTCGAAATCGACGCCCTGAACCTCGCAAATGCGAGGAAATAACGCGATCGCGGTCGTGTACGCGGTTTTAGATTTCGCGAATTGTTTTATTTAAAACTTGCCATTTTTTCACTTTTTGTTGTTTATTATANATATCGATTAAAGAGTAGATTTTCCGCAAGAATTGTATGATAAAGTTAAATATTTTAGAAACTATCGAAAAGTATATCGGGAAACAATAACATATTTATTTAATTTTGACGACTTAGCGTTACTATTACCGCGATTTTTAGTTTTAA